TAAATTTGTATTTGATTTAGATAAATTTTTACTGAGTTGTACATATTGAGAAAAATTCCAAATAATTTTGGGTACCATTGTATCATCTATATCAATAAAAGTCTTGCGTTGATACACTTGGCCACTTTAAAAAAAAAAAAAATGAATAATCAATTTTAGTTAAAGATTTTTCAGATTAAATAAAAATTGTCAAGAAGACATAAGAAATTTAGGCTAATTACAAACATATATAGTAATTACAATAGTATATAACTGGATTTTTTTTAAAACAATAAATAGTTTTTTTTCTTTTATAGTTACACAATTATATTTTGCAGGTTTTAGAAAGTTTACTACAGATTAATATAAAAACCCATATATAAATATATATACTTTTTTTTATTTTTTTAAATTTTAATAAATCTAGTTAAAACTAATAAAATATAATTAATTTACAATTAACTTTGTTCAAATGGTTTTTTAAGTTCCTATTTATCAGATAGTAAATAGAAACTTAGAAGTACATATCTTGACAAGTTAATTCTCTATCTATACTATTAATACTCTAGTATTAATAATATAAGCAACAAGCCAATCAGTAAATAGTTCTTTTTCTATATTAGGTAGTTTAAAGAATATATAAAGCTTAATTTGTATTACAGATTTGTAAAAATGTTCAATACAATATTCAATAAACAAGATATATACCAGTTGTTAAAAAATTATTTAAAAATAATATTAATATATATTTTTATAATATATTGTCTTATTTAGTTTAATTTTAATTTGATATAATTAATTACAATAATAAAATAATTATTATATTTTTTATATTTTATTATTTCAAAATTATAAAAAACAAAAACTTTTACCTAAACCTTAAGATTTATTTTGAATATGAATATCAATCATTTCAGACCAATGTTGTATATGCCTTTATTTCAATATTTCATTGTAATAATATTAAGACTCTAATTAAGACAATCAATTCATATTAAAGATTTATAACTTTTAAATTATGAATAGTATTTCAGAACCGAAATCTATGCTGTCCGTAGATTATCTTTCTTTGAGGGAAGGTGACGTTGTAAGTATTTGATTTCGGCTTCCAGATCCTATTGAGTATAACAGTTATTGTAAATAATAAAAAAAATCATACATAAAAGTTATAACTAATAATATACCTTGCAATAATCATCCAATGGGAGATCATTCTTGTCATACCCTAATAATATAAGAAGGTTAATTAGGCCTTGTATATATATATATATATATTCGTCCACAGAACTTTTTATTTTCACACACCAAATGGATTTTCAATCTCGGCACCTACATATATACATATAATCATTAAATATTAGTTGATATATATACAATCATTTATTTATCAGTGAATTAATGTTTACTAACCAATAGCTTCAACACCAAACAGAGCAAGAGAAACAATCAGCATAACCGGAATTGTAAACCACTCCAACTTAGAAACCAGAGCAAATGGTAATGACCATACTAAATTTATCATTTGTAAGTTACATTAATTGATATTATCAATAATTTCCAGTAGAGTAATTACTTACCATATAGAGAGACCGCTTGTTTTACTACAAGAAATAGATAGAAAATAAGCATGAGATAAAAAACGGAAGGTGAACAATAGAATATGGATATTTACAATGCACGTTATATGCAAATGGTATCGGTGTATTCCCAATTCTTTCAAGGTTGCCCAATATATCGATAAGTGAATTTAAGCCTCCGCACAAATTACCGAAATAAACACCTTCTAGCTTGCCTTCTCGTAAGCTTTGGTTAAAATATAAACCTAAGTGGAATACGATTTCTAGCGGAAGACTCATACTCGCATCTACATCACCGCCCCACTCATCCTGACCAAACCACATACGACTTTCATCAGGTGTATAAGAAGTACGGATATAGTTGTAAGTGGTAGGAGGAACTCTACTGGCAAGAGTACGAAGTGTCGAATTCACACATGGCAAACCCTCTCTACTATGTTCGTGATTTTCTGGACCTTCATCCCCAACATCAGCATTTTCTTGTACTGCGTTACCGTCAAAATATGTTAATTGAAAACCTTCAGGAAGAAGATCCTGTAAATCAAACCATTCCGTGCCAAATTCCAATCGAAGATGATGCTTGACGGCGACTACATATGCCAATAAGAGTTTGATGTATTTCTCTTTCTCGATATGATCTTTTGGATCACGTTCTATGATCCCAACCCACGTTTCACGTGTGCAATTTCTGACTACGGTACTAAGATGTTAGTTTATTTATTAGTGAAGTGCACATTTGAATTTACAAAACACGATAATACAATCCGCGAAACGTACCACATACTATTAAACAGTTTACGCCCTTCGTAATATCTATCATAAGCATTATTTGTACGAAAAGCTAGCAGAAGACCAACCACCACTGATACGGAGCCAACTGTATTTTTGTTTTTATTTTTGAGTGAATTGCTCTGGAATTTTAACGAGACACATGTAAAAAAGAAAAAAAAAATGCTCACTCAAGACATCTGGAAGAGCAAGATCTACATCGTAGACCATATACAACACAGTCACAGCGGTTGTAAGTGATACAGAGAAGAAGGTGATAGGTGCACAACTTGGAAGAACCTACAAAGGAAGAGTACCTAAATGAAAACTCATTAAACAGGCCGCGTGTCTAATATAAAATACTTACAGAACCGCCAAAACGCAAAATGTCGGGATATCCCCATCCTCGACGCCTCGCTAATTCTCTAAAAAATCCTTTTTTAGGTCTAGGGTCTTTCATGCGCGGCATCTTTTCGAATTCAAGTAAATAGAGAAAAGTATTCCAATAAACTTCTTTCTGTTAAATAATTCCTTCATTATACGCTATTCTTAGAACATTTACGGTGATTACTAATTGGCACCATGTTAAATAAGGTCTGGGTGAACGCGCTTTTGCTTTGCTAATACTTATTAATGTGAAATCAATATATGATTGCCAAACCTAGGTCTTTTATATTAAACCAAATACGTTATTTTGTGTGATATCATTATTATAAATTGTTTACTATTTAATTTATACTTTTAATTTTTTTTTTTTTATCAACTAGCCTAACGTATTTTATTTGTATTTCTTTTATAAGAATTACTATTTATACTTTAATTAAAATGTAATGCTAGTAATTATGTTTCAATCTATTTAAATTGAAAAATAAATTGTATAAAAACTGAAATACTTTAGATTATTTATTTTATTATATGTTTCAATTTTTTATTAACTCAAAAAACAAATATTCTCAAAAGATTTTATATCTTTATAATAATAAAGTTTATATATTTTTTTAATAACACTAGTTTTTAACTAGTAAAATAAATAATAGTTATTATTTTTTTTTTTTCAAAACTATTCTTATTATTTTTGTATCTAAATACAAAAAATCTATTTAAAAGATCTATAGCAAAAATATTTTTTGAAAAAAAACTAATAAGAAAAATAAGAAAAAAAATCTTTAGTTTTTTTATTTTATTAATTTTTTATTTCTTTGTTCTTAAGTATACTTTATTTTTTTTTATTTTTTTAAAAAATTTTATTTATCTTAATTTGATTTTAAATTTTTAATTATATCAAATCTCTTAAAAAATAATTGATTAAAGTTATAGATTATTAATTATATTAATTACAAAAAAAGTAAATAAAATATTGTATATTTTTTTTTTTTTTTTTTTTTTTTTTTTTGTAGAATGGGTTAATGTTTTATGCTTTTTTTTTTTTTT